CTCATGTTCTTTTTCTCTTTTTGGCTGTTGGATCTTTAGTAGCTTGAAGTAAACAGTTGTACAAGATATCTTCTTTGTTTTATGGATATGGTGGATTGTTAGGGACCATAGCCGGTCGCTGTGAACATTAATGAACGGCCAATTCAATTTGTTGTTTTTGATTAAAAAAAAATTAGGTCTCTTGCTGAGCCTGTTAATAAATTCATTAGTTGCAGAATTGTCTGCAATTTACTCATCATTTGTTTTTCTGGTGATGATAGTACTCTATAATTTGTTTCCCTTGCAATTTACTATATTATTTGTTTTTCTGGTAATGATAGTACTATATTATTTGTTTTCCTAGTGATAATAGTATGGAATTCTGTAAACAATTTCTTTACCTTTACCTGTTTGAAAAAAATAATGCATCATTCATTCTCCTCCAGATTTGGCTTGGTTTAACCTTTATTGAGTAACAATTTCTGTCGCCTAAGAGTTTGATTCCGTCGTGTGAGGGTATTCCGTCTTAGTCACCGTTTGCCCAATGTAGGGCTTGAGTTCTATCTTTGAAGCTCGATGTCAGGGCTTGTCAGGGCTTTACTTCTATCTTGGAGGTAAGCTTTAGCTCTCAAGGTCTTCTTATGTTGGTTTGTTTAGTGTTGTGCTTGCAGCTCAGGATGGCCAACATCGACTGAAGCTACTAGATCAAAAGGAATTGATAAAGAAATGGAAAAAATATTGAAGAGCTTCTCGTTACCAAAGAAGGAAATTACAAAGATTAAAATTGACTCAGGGGGATATCAAATCCAGCGAGCAAGAGTGTGGCATGAGTTTATTTGGCAAAATTGTAGAAGACAGGAAGGCGAGATTGGTGGGAGTGAAAGAACTATGGGGTTGACTTGGCAGATTCAACAACATGTGGAGGTAAGATAACTTGGGTCAAATTATTTCCCGTTTATATTTGATAATGAAGGGGATATGAAAAGGGTGGTGCGATGAACAATTGGATTTTTCAATATCAGTACTTGATCCTTCATGAATCAAAAGATGGGTTGAATGAGAAACATCCCTGCTTTGATGAACTGATTATCTGGGTCCTGGGTTTATTGTCCCTCTTCTAAACTGGCTCTGTGCGGATGTTGGATTCAAACTAGGGAAGGTTATTAAACGAACTAAAAATATGGCAATTTTCAAGACGGGGGAATACTAAAACTTCTTGTCATAGTGAATTTGAATGAAGCTTTCCCCAAGTATGCCAGCATTATATTAGGAGATCAAAAGGTAATAGTCAATTTCAAATATGAAAAATATGTAAACTTCTATTACTATTGTGGTAAAGTGGGCAATATGGATAAATTTTGTAAGAAGAGATCGGAGGATATTGCTAGTCATAACCTCCCGGAAGGCTAGTATGGGGAGTGGCTCAAACAGTAGGGGACACCTAGGTGTGAGAGCTAGCCAGAATAGTAATCCTTGAAGTAAATGTTGAGTTCGCTATACCGTACATGGTAAAACGCAGCGGAAATTAACAAAATAAACAAGCATTTATCTAATAAATACTAAACCCCTCGGTTCACATAGCGATTGTAACGATCGACATCTTTTAAAATCATGCAAAAGTACAAATTTTGATCCGTAGAGAATTTCGAAAATTACTTCTTAATTTTCTTCGTAAAGCAACGATGAAGAAGAAATCAATTCCCGGTTATGTGGCTATCACCGTATGTTTCGCCGTAAGGGATCCACGTGTTTTCCCTCTAATCAAGTCCACCTTTTTTTTCTGACTCCGATAACAATTTCTTCGCTAGTAGAAATTTCCCAGTATTGAATTGGTATAAGAATACAAAGAAGAGAGGAGATTTTTTTTATTATTATCTCTTAGAATGCCGAGAGCATTTCTGTTCTTTTAGGAGAGTGCTTAATTGATTTTTTATACATCTCATGTACAAATTTATACAACAAAACTGTGGTGATCGGATGGACATCCATCCCCATTAATTTCTTTAATTATGATGATGATAAGGTGGGGTGGCTGACAACCCCACCTAACGATAATTTTTTTTATAGTCTTTAATTTTAATTAAAGATAATGACACATAATTTATGAAACTAACTTTCAAATTTAATTGATCAAAATCTTATCTCCCATAAAAACAAAATCTCCCCTTTTATGTAGGCTTTTAATATATAATCATATTTATATTTGAATTTGAATTATAAAGTCACACTTTAAAATCCAAATAATAATTTAGTAATTTCAATAATTACTTAATTAATATCCAAAGGCCAATTAATCAATTCAATTGATTAATTTATTCTATTCCTTTAATTAACATCTAATGAAAATTGGATTTAATTAAATATATAAATTATTTAACTAGGTCTTGTCAATTAATCCAACTATTGGAAATACCAATTTCAAAATGTCATCATCCAAAATTTGGTGTGACCCTTCTAGGTTCACGATTAACACTAGTAGTGGGTTTACACGTTGTTTGTAATTTAAATTAATCTAATTAATTTATATTCTTAAAATTAACTCTTTAATTTCAAAAACTTACAGATTATGGTAACACCTAGCAGGTAGTATGATTATCTAGTATTACGTGAAATAGCGAGTAAATCTTTTTAATTGCAAGTGCATACATGTAAAATCCTTTCGACAACTAAATTTCCCGATTAAATCTTAGGCATGAATTTATAAGTCGAAACCTAATTGATTCAATAAGTCTGATTCCATTTCAAGTTTAGTGATTCCTTTATGAATCCATATTCATCTCGCCTTGGCCAAGGTCTTTGAACCACAAATTATGAAAAACATAGGAAATTCATTTATCCACATAAGTGTCGAATTCTTTGTTGGCCACAGATAAACTTCCATACACATTACTCAAAATATCCCTTTTATGATTTTTCAGCAATCAAAGGATAAATCAAAGTGAAACACAACATGCGCAAGATTACTATCGTGCCTTAAGTCAGAGGATCAACCATGTACTATTGCAATATGAAAATTCTTATTCGACAGTTAAAAACTTCCAATTAAGAATTTTCGTCGGGTCATGTTCAGTGAACTTGTTCCCCAACAAGAACCCGTATATATGCATTTACGTCCACACGCTAATGTTGATGGAATGCAACATTCTCGTCCGACGAGCATGCATCATATGCACAAGTCTTACCGGGTTATTCAATGTCCTGTCTCGAAATACCCATTGACTTGGAACTTATTTAAGATCACAGCTTTAAAGACATGTTCCATTATTGCCATCAAATGCACAACCATGCTTAATAGCTAATAATGATCTAAGGACTTCATCATATGTGTAAATATGTGATAAAGGCAAAGACATAAGATAAAACAATGCCTCAAAATAATATAATTTCCAATAAATTGTTTTTACAACTAGAAATAGATCCAATCAGAGTAGAACGTCGGGTGTTCTACTCTAACAATATCCCACTTGTCCTAGTTCCAATCACCCAAGTATTTCAGGCCCATTTTCTCAAGAGGTCCGTCAAACACTTTCTGTGATAATGGCTTAGTCAGGGATCTACTATATATTTTTTTTTTTAAACGACTCGATCCACAACTACATCGCCTCTATCAATGATCGCTCTAATCATGTGGTATCGCCTCATTATGTGTTTGGATCTTTGATGAGAATTGGATCTTTCTCTTGCGCTATAGCCCCAATGTTGTCACAATAAATCATTATTTGATCAACAACAGACGGAACTACACCCAACCCTTGGATGAAGTTCCTTATCCAAACAACCTCTTTCGCAACATCTGATACTGCAATATATTCAATCTCGGTAGTAGAGTCAACAGTCGTTTATTGTTTGGAACTTTTCCAACTAACTATTGCTCTATTCAAGGTAAATATGTATCCGGACATTGACTTTGAGTTGTCTTTATCGGACTGAAAATAGAATCAGTGAAGCCTTCTAGTTTTAGTTCTTCATTGCCATATATCAAAAAGATATCCTTAGTCCTTCTCAAGTACTTAAGGATCATCTTAACGGCCTTCCAGTGTTCCTTCCTTGGATTGGACTTATAACAGCTCGTGACACTATGTGCATGAGCCACATCAGGCCTAGTACATACCATCGCATACAAAATGTTACTGATAGATGATGCATAAGGTATACGAGACACCATGACTCATTGGAAGGTAACCACGTTTGGATTCCTTAATGCTAAACCGCTTTAGCACCTTATTTATATACATTGACTGTGATAGTCCGATCATCTTTCTAGATCTATCTCTATAGATCTTTATCCTTAGGATAAAAGATGTTTCTCCCAAGTCTTTCACGGAAAACTGTTTAGCCAACCAAGTCCTTGTTGACTGCAACATTCCTACATCATTCCTATTGAATAGAATGACATCAACATAGAGCATTACAAATGCTACTGCAATTCCACTAACCTTCTTATAAACACATGGTTCATCCGGATTTTTGTGAAAATCAAACGTTTTGATCGTTTCATCAAACCGGATGTTCCAACTCTTTGAAACTTGTTTAAGTCCATAAATGGACCTTTGGATTTTGCAAACCATTTGCTCGCTCCCACTAGATATGAAGACATGTGGCTGTTTCATATAAATATCCTCCTTACTGTTTCCATTAAGAAAAGTAGTCTTCACATCCATTTGCATATCTCGTAGACATAATATGCAGCTATGGCTAGCAAAATCTGAATGAATTTAAGCACTGCAACTGGTGAAAAAGTTTCCTCATAATCAACACCTTATTTTTTAGTATAACCTTTTGCAACCAAACGTGCTTTAAAGGTATTCACTTCTCCATCTACTTTCAAGCTTCCGCTTATAAACCCATCTACAACCAATGGGTACAATACCCTGTGGTGGGTCCACCAAGGTCCATACTTTGTTTTGTTACATGGAGTCCATCTCGGACTCCATAGCTTCTTATCATTTATTTGAGTCAATGTCCGACATTGCCCATTCATAGCTTGTTGGATCATTATCCAAAAGGAGTCCCTTTTTTAACAATAGGTATAGCCTTTCAGGTGCCCTAGAAACCCTCATGGATCTTTGAAGAGGTTGTGCCTCAGAAGGTCCAGTCTCAACTGGTGTGTTATTCGTGACAACTTGTGGGATACTTTGTGGTACTTGTTCTTCATTAAGTTCTACAACCTCACAATTCTTATCAAAGAGAAACTCTTCTTCTAAGAAAATGACATTCCTCGAAACAAACATCTTTTGTTCAGAGGCGTCATAGAAATAGTATCATATAGACTCTCTTAAATACCCCCAGAAATTTACATAAGATGGATCGCATATCCAATTTATCTCTCACTTGTCGCTTCACGTAAGAAGCACACCTCCATAATTTGAGATACTTTTACGAAGGTGTTTTGCCACACCATATCTCATATGATGCGTTAGGCACGACTTTACTTGACATCCTAATCAATAGATATACCGTCATTTATAAGGCATAGCCCCAGAATGAAAGAGGTAAGTAGTGGAACTCATCATTGATCGAACCATGTCCAACAAGGTCCAATTCCTCCTTACTGAAACTCCATTTATCTGTGGAGTACCAAGAGGAGTCCACTGTGAGATAATCCCATTCTCTTTTAGATAATCGAGAAACTCAGTGGTCAAATATTCACCTCCTCGATCTGATCGAAGAGTCTTAATACTGCAACCACTTTGTTTCTCCATCTCACATCTAAATTCTTTGAACTTTTCAAAAACTTCAGATTTATACCTTAAAAGCTATACATAACCATACCTAAAAAAATCATCAGTAAAGGTTATGAAGTAGTGATAGTTCCCTCTGGCACTAACATTTAGTGATCCACAAACATCTGTATGAATCAAATTCAACAGACCTTTAGCTCGCTCCACTTGTCCAACAAATGGTGATTTTCTCATTTTTCCTTTAAGACATGACTCACATGTAGGCAACTTATCCTTTCCCCTAAGGTTGAGTTTAGGTCCCAATTTGTGAATCCTCTTTTCAGATATATGTCTCAATCTAGCATGTCAAAGTGCAAACGAACTATAATTATCTAAAGTTCTTTTATTTTGTTGAATAGTTAGGATGGGACTTTGAGGTGTAACAGTGTATAAACCATTTGTCAAAGTCAATCCATAATTAT